TTTCTGTTCCTACAGACACCATGCTAATTCAGAATCTTTCTACTTCACACAGAAACTAGGATAGATGATCACAATATTGCAGGATTATTCCCCCTAACTCTGGTCTATTGTCACCAAACCTTCTATCACATCATCTCCATGTTATCATTTCTATACCAATTTTGATCATGGTCCTTTACTACAAGATCAAGTCCAAACTGGTTAACCTTCTGTAACTTAGCTTTACATTTTTTAGCCTTACCTCCCTCCTTTCACACTTCTATATGAATTCCTAGTTTAGCCAATCTGGTCTATTTAACAGCCAACAAACACACTGTATGAGTTTCCCATGCCACTTCCTCCATCTGGAAGGCTTTGGAGCTCCTGATGCTTCAAGATTCTTATTAAACTTCACCCCTTCCCTTGTCACCTCAAGTAGGTACAAAAACTGTGACAGAATGTTAGAGCTGAGGGGAGACCATCTACTCCCCGTGCAAAACGGATTTTGAAGAATCATCTCCCCCATCTATAAAATTAAAATGTTCAGGGATACCAAGGACAATAAAAATAGTTTTCTTTCCAAACACTGGTTTTCTTTCAACACTTTTTTTCTTGAGCGTTTCCTCTCTGCCAGGAGGTGTGCTAGCCACACAGGACTAAAGTTTAATGAGAAAGACCGACTGCACATCTATCATCACACAAATAGTTCAACTTTGGTGAGTGCTACAAGAAGAGGGAAGTTCAGGGTACCAGAGATGTCTGAGGTATGCATGGTTCAGGGAAGGAGTGAGGCATGACATTTCATCTAGTGTGGGAACACAGGAAGGAGTTAACTCAGCTTGGGAAGAGGAAGAAGGCTTCCCTGAGGAGGAAATCTTTTAAATAGGGGTGAAAATGAGTAGGAATTAACTGCGAAAGGTAAATGCTACATGTACAAGGAAAGCCCAGACAGGTACTTTCAAGGAACTAAAAGCAGGTGTGGGTGCTGGAACCTAAGGGAGAGGAAGATTGAAAAGGTGAGGCCGGAAAGGCAGACACGGGCAGGAGCATGCTGTGCCTCAGAAGGTCATGTAGAAGATTTCTGGGCTTTATTCTGAGAACAACAGGGCTTGAACCGCATGTTCCAAGATACTTTAAGTCAGGACCATGGCCTACCCTGGGAGGAATGGGAGAAACAATTATGGAATCAGAAAAAAATTCTAGTTTTATTTCAACTGAAACATATTCTGTATCCCTATCACACTTTCTTGAGCGTGTGTTCTCATCTGAAGTCAAGCTGAAAAAGGAAAGTATGTGAATTAACAAATACAGCCTTTTTAGTTGGGCCACTTGGCTTGGACAGGAGGTAGTGTAAGTATATGAATGCCTCTGCACCTGTAAACACTTGAGGGAGTATGGGCTTGTTCTACATTTTCTAAGAGCACAACATTCCATACAAGAACAATCCAATAAAAAGCTCCATTTCACTGTCACTGGCCATGAATTGGTGCTATTCTTGAAGTTAAATCTTCAGTCTCCTCCCCTTTCCCATAAGGCCCTTAATAAGGGAAAATATTTTGAGAATATATGAGCCAAAATTTTTCCAAGGGTTGTTTTAATCCCAGTTGCTTTTTATTCTCATCTTGTCTACATCAGGTAATGAATTTCAAAAGGCAGTCACAAATTTATTTCCCCTAAAATTACATTTATAGCAAGGATAAAATTTAAAGAAGGTAGGGTGACAAGGTTATTAATAAAAGAACAGCTGGAATTTTGGAGCAATTTCTGTGTTCAAGGTATTGTGTTGGACTCCTTAAAATAAATTATCTCATTTAATCCTAATAAAGACTTTGAAGGGTGCATCTCATTCACAGATAAGGAAACTGAGGCTTACTACTTCCCTGCAATATGTACATCTGAGACCCGTACTGCCCAATATGGTAGCCTGCAGCCACATGTGCCTTCTGAGCACCTGAAATATGTCTGAATTAAAATGTGCTGTGAGTGTAAATTACACACCAGATTTTGGAAAATTTAGAATAAAAAGGAAAGTAAGATATCTCAATTTTTGAATATTGGTTACATGTTAATATGGCAAATAGTACATCAAAAAATGCCTTATTATCTGTTATAATTAAAAAAGATAAGCTACTAGAAATTTTTAAATTACATATGTGGCTCACATTATACTTGTATGGAACAATGCCACCCTAGACCAAAAGCTGGGTATTGAATTTGCCAGTAAATAACAAGTTCAAAGCCAGCCTGGTATAGAAGAAGAGTACATGGATTATAACAGATCTTGGTTTATATCCTTCCATCAGTGACTGGTCTTGGGTAAAATACCAAACCTCTCTGCACTTCGCTTTTGTCACTGGCATTATGGTGATATTAAATATCCCCAAACAACTGTTGTAATATGTAAAGCAGCTAGTGGGCAGAGAGGAGGGAATAATTACTGAATACTTCCTATAGCAACTGCTTAATTTAAAAACTGATTCCCAAAAAGAACAGAAAATTTACTTATTTGAAAATCATGTTTTATTCTCCTTAAGTGGGAAGAGTTAACTTACTAGCACATTTAATGCTTACTTTAGCATCATATATGCATTATCTATTATCTTCTAATATACATAATATACACAGATCCTTTCTTTCTATGTAAGTTATTTATAATATGTTATAGGCTGGGAGGCTAGATGATAAAATTAGGGTGAGGTACATAATGTCAGAACACAGAAGGGCCCAAGGGGTCCTTATGGATACAATGGATGAATTCCAGTGAAAAGAGTTTATGAACTTGATGTCAGCAGACCCATGGTTTTTTTACATCAAGAACTGAGACTAGTGAGTAAAATGACACCTGGGCAAATAGAATTTTACTTTTCTTTTTTTCTCCCTTGGTTGTGGTGCAAATTGTTTCAGCAGACCAAGTTTAGATTAGCCCACTATTAGTAATCTCCACTAAATCATAAGAAACTACAAAATCATGTGGACTAAACTATCTGAGGATATTTTGCCATATTCTGTCCCCTAGGCTTTTGTCAAGAAGTTTGCCCTTTTATCAATGTTTGAATTATATGTATACATTTAAATGTAAAGTTTGGAGCAGCGGGCCATTCACTTTATTATTTGATGTATGTATATGGCTTAAGATTGACATGTGACAATGTATTAGACTGTATTAGACTGCCCTGTTCTGTATTCTTTTTTTTTTTAGTAGTATGGGGGGAGCGTACTAATTAAGGATTTCAGTCCCTTTAATGTAGCCCCTTAAGTATACATTTATTAAATTTAGCACCAAAACTGCTCATTTGTTATCTACAGCAATTAACTTTAAGAAAATGAGATGGGAGAAGTAAAAAGCTATCAGATTTACAGATCTGAGTGAGAATGGAAACAGAGACCATGAAAATATTCACTTTATTCTAGTTTGAGTTTTAACAAGAAATAATATACAAAATTTTATTTTTGCTATTAAAGTGCATGTGCAATGAGTTAAAGGGGGATGGGGACAAGGCATCCCCTTTGATCATATGTTGCATTAAAAATCCACCTCTTGTAATGAATTTTTGAGTACCCACTGAGGACACATGACTTGGTCTTTGCTCTTTCAAAATAAGTGACTCTGACCTACAACGTGATTGTGTCTACAGTTCACTTACAACCATGTTTCAGTAAATGTCTTCAAACTCTAAAGCTAGAGTTAGGTAGGAAAAAAAAATTACACTAAATCAAAATTATTAATTATTAGCTAATAATAAGAATCACAGAGGGGCACCTGGGTGGCTCAGTTGGTTAAGCGACTACCTTCGGCTCAGGTCATGATCCAGGAGTCCCTGGATCGAGTCCCGCATCAGGCTCCCTGCTCGGCGGAGAGTCCGCTTCTCCCTCTGACCCTCCCCCCTCTCATGTGCTCTCTCTCTCTCATTCTGTCTCAAATAAATAAATAAATAAATAAATAAATAAATAAATAAAATCTTTCAAAAAAAAAAGAATCACAGAGAACAATGTGTAACTAATAATTAGAAAAATTTGCTAAAACTTTGAACTGAGATATTATTACATTTCTGATGCTTGAAATTATAGGAAAATATACACTCATATTTAAGAGAAAACGAGTATTTTAAGCCATTTAAGCTACGAGCCATATTTTCAAAATGCACACTGTAAAAAAAAAAGTTTATATCAGGAAAGAGCTTGTTTGCATTAACTTTAAATTAGCTAATACTTGAGTTACACCTTTGAAGAAACTTCAGTTTTGTTTCCAGGAATGCTTTTTTCCCTTACTTTCTTTCTTTTTTTTTTTTTTGAGGGGTTAAGGCAGTTGGATTAAAAAAAAAATGTTAAGCCGCATTCTTTAATGTAAATGGCATATCTGTGCTCCTATATGCTAATAACTCTCAATCTCACTGAACTGTTAGGATGTCTTCAAATAATTTAATGTCTTTAAAGTTTCGTCTTAATTGCACAGTTCATTTTTGTAAAACGCCTTGGCACCACTCAATCTTTTAAGAGAGGAGAAAGGTCTCTTTCCTCTGGACTTGACATTTTTACCATATATGTGTGAGCAATCTTGCTATCAAATATTGCCAAGGTAGATTTTTTTGTTGTTGTTCAATCTGAAAATGTCTCCACTATGCCTGCAGAGCTCCCCTCTTCCCAACACAAACCTACCCAACCCTTTCCCCCACTGCAAGTTTTAAACTTTGTTTCCTTTGGGGTTCTGCACAAGTACTACTAATAATATCCAAGAGACAAAGAGCTGTGCTGTAGGTTCACGGGATGCCAAATTTGAGTTGTGAAACAAAGCACTCAAATTTGAGATTCAAGATGATGGTGGTGGTGATGCTGGCAAAAAAAAAAAATATATATATATATATATGTATATATATATTATAGAGCATGAGACCCCCAAAGCCATCTCCCCAGACAGCTCCCCCTGTCCACCGCCACCCAGAGCACGGGGGAGTTCTGGCCCCGGGACGTCGGCTGCCGGCAGCACCGCGAAGCCCCCTACCCGCTCCCCCCGGCCCTCTCACCGCTTCACTCGGATGATCTGGTCCCGCATGGGCTTGATGTCCTGGAAGCTCTGCTGGTTGACGAGGCTGTAGACGAGGATGAAGCCCTGGCCGTTCTTGATGTACAGGTCCCGCATGGACGCAAACTGCTCGGTGCCCGCCGTGTCCAGGATCTCCAGCACCGACGGCGACGAGTCCACCTCGATCTCTTTGCGGTAGAAGTCCTCGATGGTGGGGTCGTATTTCTCGATGAAGGTGCCGGTCACGAACTGCACGGTCAGGGCGGATTTGCCGACCCCGCCCGAGCCCAGCACCACCACTTTGTACTCGCGCATCGTCCCTCCGCGGCCGCCGCCGCCGCCGCCGCCCGCGACATAGACCTACGCCCGCCGCGCTGTGCCCCCGGACCCTGCGCCGGCGGCCGGCCCCGCCGCCACCCGCGGCCGCCCCCACCTCACGGCCGCCGCGACCCCCCGGGCGCCGGCGGAGGGAGCAGCAGCCCTGGGCATGGGCCGAGCCGGGCGGCAATGCGGCTCGCGGGCGCCGGCAGGCACTGAGCACGAGCAGCGAGCGAGAGCAGCCGGAGCCACCGGAGCCGCCCGAGCCGCGGGCCCGCAGTGCCACCCGCCCGCCCCGCCCCTCGCGCCTCCACGCCCAGCTCCCCGCCCGCTGCCGCCGCCGCCACCGCAGCTTCCTCGGCTGCCGGAGCGCGCGCCCGAGCGGGAGCCGCAGCGCTGCCGGGGGCGGGGCTCGGCGGCACGAGGCGGGGCTCCGCGGCGCAGCCCCGCCCCTGCTCCCTGTCGCCTAGGCGACCGACCGCGCGCGCTCCCGGGAGACTGCGCCGTGCGGAAGCCTCCGCTCGCGGTTAGATAAACAACCTCCTCTGCCGCCCCACACCACCCTACCCCGCACGCCCCGTCGAACCCCAGGGCCTGCGTCCTGAGCATGCGTAGTTCGTTTGCCTGAACCGGGAACCTGGTCTACTGGAGAATCCCACGCTCGGCATTTGGGGGAGACAAGATGTTAGCGGGCCAGAGCAATCTGCAGGCTTTAACGTGAGGCGGAGAGTGAAAAGAAGAAACGGACAAGGCCCAAAAGGAGGTCTTGGTGAGGGATTTTGCTTGACACCACCCAGTCTCTCAGTACTCCTGAGAGCTTTGGTTTTTATCTTGCATCAAGGTAACGAGCAGCTTTTTTGAGGGGACGAACATAAACACAACGAAGCGAACACTGAGGGAGGGATTGCAGGGCCCCTTCTGCCCGCTGCCCGACGTGGCGAAGGCGAGTCCGCGGAAGCCAGGCGCACGCCCGCTGACGTCGCTGGGGGTCCCGCCCTGCTCCAGCGCCGGCCTGGTGTCGAGCGCTTCCCACGCCCTCTCAGCTACGGGCGCCTGGAAAACCGGGAGAACGGAGCTCCCACCCGCAACAGAAGGCCCAGGGCCACCTCATAGCAACAGCTAGCTGGGGCACCTAGTAGGAAGCTGGGATTCAGTCCAACCAACCAGTTCACGTTTCTGTACCCCCATGGTATCGTTCTCGGCCAATAGAGAGCCACTTCATGCCACATGACGCCCACCCGTCAGCCAATGGGGGAAACTCTAGTCGCAGGATCAACCAACTCACCTCCCTTTGCCTGGCCAGGCAGGGCGTTTGCTCCTGCGCACTCTCTGCCAACCAATCGTAGGTGAGCTGGCGAATGACGGCGGTTCGATGTGAGCCAACCAGGACTCGCGCTTCCCTTGCCACCTAGGGCCGGTGGTATGGAGACAGGGAGGCTCGTGGGGTCCGGGAGGGGTCGGAGAATGAGGGGCCGGTCGCTGTGTCCTATGCTGGCAAGGAGCAAGGTGTTTTGCAGGCGAGAGTGATGAATTCTGCGTTTAACGTCGTCTCCTTGGCATGCTGCCTAAATGATGGGCATGGAAATGGTGCTGAGGGAATGTGGGCTGAATCGTGGGATGAATCGAGAAAACAGGGACTTTTGTCTTTAGGGTGAGAAATTTTCCGGTACTTAAGGAGACATACTGCAGCACTTGGCACGGGTCTTCCATGCGTGCCTCCTGAAACATTTTTTTTTTTTAAACTACTTAGTTTTTTAAACTTACCGTTCGGTCTCTGTAGCATTATATGTTAGTTGCACTCTCTCTTACCCACACCGTCAAATTTAGAAGTTATATTTCCAAGTATTCCTGGATTATGTTTTGTAATAACTGGTTATTGGATTTACCTTACTTAAACTCTGTCCTTCTCAGACTAGTCTACATCCATCTGTTACTAAATCACATTTCTTGGGAATAATAAGTTTCTGCAGTTCTGTTTGATCATGGCATACCTCTTCGCCCTTTCTCTTCCCCACAAGGTCATCATGTAGAGAGGACGTTGGTCTGAGTTTCTGGAAAAACCAGGTGTTCCTTTACCATCTCTTCTGTCAATCATCAAACTACTACAAAGGTGTACTTAGATCCCCCAGTGTTCTATTGCTCTGTTAGTCCATTATATTAGAATGGAGAATTTATATTTGCATTATCTTGCTATAGTATAGCACATACCAAGTTTTTGCTTAAATTAATTGAGGGCAAGTGTCATGTCAAAATGTGTAGTATATATAACTGAGTCTTCATTTCTTGATTAAATATTTTCAAAGTATGAGAGGTAATATCTGAGCCTCTGGAATCAGCAGTGAAGGCAGATTGCAAAAAAAATCGAATCAGAAGAATCTTTTAAGATCATGGAAACCATAGAGCATCTGATATCTAAACTAGTAATGTGAAAAAGTGAATTAAAATAAAAGGAAATCACATCTGAGCTTTTTGGGCAGGGATATTTCAAGAAGATGTTGTAGATGAGTGCAGTGTTCACCTAGCTTTTTACAAGTCTCATATTTTGTGTGAAACTTATATGCTGATTTGAGGTTACTTTAGCTTTGTAACAGTCACACTTCTTTTCAGAAGAAAGACAGACTGTCTCTTTAAGATCGAAATTGTGCATCATGGTGATAAAATTCCTAGGCTTTTTGAGAAGCATCAAACTTTCTCTCTTTGTATAGATCATTACAATCTGTGTAGTACGTTGCATTGCAATGGAGCTGAAAAATCATGTATTTTGGAAGCAAATAAAGGTCCAGTGGCTTTTTGTTTTTGTGTTTGGTTTGGTTTGGTTTTGGGTTTTTTTTGGAAATTTGCATTGGGATTGTGAATCTACGATGTAACCTTAAGCAACTTTTCATTTCCTAAGTCCCCAGAAGTTGAGAAGCTCTGGATTGCAGTGCATCTGATAGAAGTTGTCACACAAAAAATAGTGAGTGGGCTCCCTAGTCACTCCACTTAGCATAATAAAGAATAGGAGAGCTTTTTGACATTTTTCAGGCTTTCTCTGACCTTTCATTACTGCTGACTTTTCTTGATAAGGAGAAGTATACAGACTGCTGCCCTTAGGGTAGTTGCACCTCATTTATATTTCTCGTCTTGCTATTCGATATTCATTCTCAATGAATTCATATTCATTTGATATTCATTCTCAATGTTGCCATAAGGGTAGATTTTTAACCACTAATAAGCAAAAGAAACATGATAAGTAGGGCATATTTTGTTTCCTGTTCTGTATTATATGATGGTACTTACCTAATTTGAGACTTTATGTGAAATACTCGTTGAAGGATTAGCTTCCATAAGAAAGGATGTCAGAACGTGTAGAGAATTTTGAAGATTTGGTTGGGAGATGGGTGTCTGTCTCCTGATTCCTTAATCATGTTCATTTTTATGCCAGCATGAACTATTCTGAGAGTGATTTTAGAAATAAAAACTTATGTCTCCATTTGTTTGTGGGAAAGACAAAATAAAAATGAGATAAAATGAAATTGCATTTTCTCTAAGAGCTGTAAATCTGTATGATAGTGAAAACTTAACACTGTGCACTGACACTTTAGGGTCTGTTTAGCTTCAGAAGGGCATTACTGGAAGAACAAAAAAAAGAGAAAAACTTCATTTCTCCTCTCCCCACTAAATCTGAGAGTTATCTCACCTATACCCAGATACCTTCAACTTCACACTTGTGTTACTATGGAAACCCAGCTCCTTTGCTTCTGTGAAAGATGTTGGAAAAGGTGGGATGAAGTGGGAAATACACTGTGTTTGGGGACTTTCTGACTACAGCAAGAGGCAAGTATGCAAAGAATTTAATATAAACAAGTTAGAAGAGGATGTTTGTAATATTAGCAGTGCTACTTGTCTATGAAACCCTGATTCCTATTGCTTCCTATTAAAGCCTACATGTGTGTGATTAGCCATAAAGGGGAAGGGCAAGTCGAGTACATTTAGAGCAGAAGACATTTCCTTGGCCTCTGAGGCTCCTGATATAGTTGAGAAATGGAAGTATGTATAAACAGTGGAAAGGAAGGGGCAAAATAAACTTGTTTCTTTTTTGAAAATGCAGTATGTCTCAGCACTTTTGAAAAGAAAAAGAATGCAGAAATGAAGTGAGTATGTAAACAAGTCAATGAAAGAAACCTTCTGTTGAAAAAGTAAATGTTATTGAAGGAAAAAGCTTAATGATTAAGATATAGGAAATAAAAAGAAAAAAGCCTGAAGAATCTTAAAAGCTTGAATGTTCAGAGGAAAATAGAGCTCCAGTATGGTTTGTTTAACACGGCTGAAGAGTAAACACAGTGTTGCTGCATTCCTAGCAGTTTCCCTCTCTTCTAGCTGAAAAATATAGGGATGAGTCAGAATTGATCATTAATGGCAGCCCTCTCCTCTCTGCCCAGTTAGTCCAGCAGTAGGCACATGACTCAGTTCTCCTCACGGAATGGAAGAAGCCACTGGGACTGGGGGATTCCCAGGAGTCTGACGAGAATGAGTAGATATCCCCATTGTTTTGGCGCCACTCCCCTTGCTTCCTGCTTTGCACATTGAAATAAGAGAATGTGGCCACCATCTTTGGGCTGTGATGCCTTATGGCTGAGGTTGCAAACCATCGAGCTTCAGGTGGCTAAGAAGGAGGAGAAGAATCCAAGTCCTGGAAAACAGTATTGAACTGTCATGCTGATAGTGGAAATGCCCACCTTTGGACTTACTCAGTAAACAGCTAGCCTCCTTTGGTTTAAGTCTGTGTTAGTTTAAGTCCATGAGGTTTTCTGTGTCTTGGAGTCAAATACATCCCAACTACCATAGAAAGTATAAGAGATTTGAGACAAAATGGTATTTTAAAAGATCAGTGAGCATTTGTGATATTCTGATGGATAGCTTACTGATATCCTGAATGGCATTTCAAAGACATTATGGTATGAATTGAGCACTTACTATGTATATTATTCTAGGCTCTGGGGATACAAAAATAGATAATT